CACTAGATTGCGAGTAGAAAAACTGGCAATCGCAATTATGATTAAAAGAAGAATGCGCCGCCACAGCTCTGTCTAATTTTTGGAGTTTTTGGATTTAAGTCGCATATCCACATATAACTTATAGCTTATGCACAAAGGAGCGTTTACATTTGTTTACATGCCCGCAGCAGACTGTTACGTCTGTCCAATTTGTCATCCAAAAAACTATATTAATATTGGTCCTCTTACACATATTCTGCCACTTTTCGACTTGCCCTAAAAAAAGATCTAAGTGTGAAGCGAGTGGAATCTCTCTGTCTTATTATATCTGGTAAGAGATTGACGAGACTAAATTGGAATGACAGCCTCAAATAATCAAAAACAAGTAAAACAAACAATACTGATTTGCCACCAGATTGTCCATTGCTCAAATGTAAAATAATCTGACATTTTTGTACACTTGTAAGCGTTGTAACGTACTTATACTATTTGTTGGTGTCATGCGTTTAAAATTTATTATGTATGCCGCTAATTATCCGTAATTTCTGCTCGGCGGTACAAACGATTTGCGAGGGTTGGCGCGGTGTTTCCAATAAATTGTATTACAGATTCTACGTCCTTAGTTTCTTGTTACTGTGTATCACAACTTCTTGTCTCTGTACAACTATAATATTTATCCGAAAATATTGTCCCTACAAATAGATAAAAAATCAGCTTAGACGATAGCAGAACTGCTTCTTCAGCTGAACAATTCCATGTTTAGAATAGCCTTATACTCTAATAAAAACCATGTTAAAAAATAATTATTTATTTTGTTCGTTATTAATATTTCCTGGTAAAAAATAATCGCGTTTATAGTTGTTGAATTAAACGTATTCTCCGATCGCAAATTCCTATGCTTATCGCTCTTAATCTCGAAGAAAATTAAATTAATATTTAATTTGTATGTATAATTTAGCTTATGTTCCCCGATCGATAGACATTTAGGCTAATTCCGCTAAAAAAATTGACGGGCGTATTTTATTAGAGATTGTGAGTATAAACGTCGCTGATTGTCACATAATTATCTCAAAGTAGAAACATGGAAAGGTTCCGTTTAAATCTTAAGGCACCGTATACCAACGCTCTCCCGGGTATATTGGCTCGACATATTATAAGATCATAAAAGGTACAACTTATTGCCAAGCTATATGTTTACGTTCAATCACTGTGAATCCATTTCTTATCATGTAACAGACAATGAATCAATACACCAATAGTAATAGTACTAACTATCGCTAAGCATTTTAGCATAGTCCAAATTGCTCCATTGATATAGAATAAAGCGCCATCTGGCTTGCGTTTACACTAAACAATATACTGTGTGTACGTGTTATATAGCAGAAACATGTCTCTTTTTTTTTATTTTGCATCGTTTTTATACCTAGTTACAGACGGTCTACAATTCTACGGAGATAGTATTGATGCTAATAAAGCAATTAATCTTATGTCAACAGGAAATTGACGAAGAAGCAAATAAATAACGTTTCAACTATGTTTCGTTTACTTGTATTGATCTCAGTAAGACAACAGATGACTACTAATATTAATACATCTACTTTTTTTTTTTGAATTAAAAATGTGATCAATACTAACACCAATTGTTTATAATACAAATACAAAAAATATTTTTAAATACTCGCATTACATCTTTCTTGCGTTCAAGCTGTCCTGTGCCCTAGTATGTCCTTGTTCAGCTACTTTGTGATACATTTTAAATGCCTTCTCAATATCTTCTTTATGATAGTAATAACCAAGATTGTACTGTACATTAGCACGGCATTGATTAGCTGCTTTTTGATAAAACTCAATTGCCTTTTTTAGTATCTTTTTCTACTCCAATTCCATTTTTATAGCAAAAACCAAGATTATACTGTGCTTTAACATATTCTTGTTCAGCAGCTTTTTGATAACGTTCAACTGCCTTCGCAGCATCACAAATTAGCGAACACCAAGGTTGTTTCGTGCTTTACATTTTAAACATCTCGGGTCAAAATATGGGAGAGTTCCTTCAATTTTTGAACGGCTTTTCTGCTGTAAAACCTGGTCCGACAAGCAAAAGTCTGTTATCTTAGCCGCGCCGGCATGAATCAGAACATTTTGTGAAGACTAATAACAAAATTGTAATTAGCTAAACGACATTATATTACAAATTATGCAAAACATTGATAGTTACCAGATCTTTATGTAAAATGTCAAGTTCATGTAGTTTTAGTGCCAAGTTTGCACCTCGCAAGCCAGTCCAATTCTCTGATAAGTAACGTCTTAATGATCCGTCGTCAGCATAAATCAAAGACCATAGCATATCTTTTTAGCGAATCTTTTGATTAAAAGTTAGGTTAGTCTCACATTCTTAATTTAGGTCGTAACCCCACTTAACACCTACCCTCACTGACCGAGGAATCGAATAATGTTGGCGTGGTCATCAACCTTGCGATGAATTTTCAGCTATATTTTAACCATAGCCCAACATAAACATTGTCACTATAATTACCAACCTCCTTCATAAAGTTTTCAAACATCTCCTTGTTGTCTTGGGAATGAAGAAGTTTGTATGTGACTGTTCTACCAAGTGTCTTCGCTTTCGCCTTGAAAACTGCACCATATCCTCCAGTGCGGAGTCAGTAAAGTCATCGAAAGGGTAAAACCGAGTGTGCTCCCATCTTCAATACTTTTCTTTAACCATTTCTTATATGAAACAATCGAAGTCATGTTTGTCACTAGCTTCTCTGTAGCGAGTCCCACTTTATACTGTATTAGTATATAGTTTTAGTCATTGTCCACGTATTTTGTTACCAGTTCGCTTACAAAAACATACGTGTAACCTCTCCTCAATTAAGATCCTCAAAACTGCGCTGTTGTCACACCGAGTCAATCTTCCCTTATTATTATTCATACTAATACTAGCTATCTTTTTCCTCACGTCCAATAACACACTCCTTCTGCTTAAAGCGCTTACATCTAATCTACTTCTCAAACCTTTTCTTCATCTTTCTTTTCATATTTATTTTATTCCATTCTATATCATTTAATCACAGACATATAATAATAATCTGTCCCATTTTCTCCTTATTTATTGTTATCTGAACAATTTGGACATCTTAATCTTATGTTCTTACTCATTTGAGTTTCTTCCCTCCTTGATATCTACATCACTTTATACTATAATCTACCTCAAAACAATCTCTCCTTCTTGGCCATTATCATTCAAATTAAATCTAAGCTATTACACAAACTTAAGAAATTTGAGAGAACTTATTTTTAAAAATTTAACAACCTGTCCTTTGTTGAGATTTTTGATTCATTAAGCTTGAATTAATATTGCGTTTACTAATAGGGGGAAGACCCAGACATAATCTTAATTAGGTCAAATTTACAAAAAACTAAGATTTTATTTGGAATGTAGGTGAGTTTTTGTAGAAACCACTTTTGCCTATAATTTTAACTTGATAGAATTCTGAAGGAATGATAAAATTTTCATTAATGACTAAGAACAGGTAACATAACGATAATTTCTTAAAATGTCCTAAAAGTTGAGGCGGCCAAATTTGCCCAATTAGTATAAGCAATTAGGACTATAACTCGTATAACAGAATAGCATACGGATGCGGTATTAGTATTTGAGTATTGCATATTAATATAGTTTAGTGATGTCGGTCTGAGCATTTTATCGTTCGATATGTTCAATCTTAAAAACCACTAAACAACAATCAGTACAAAAACTCATTCCAAGAGAAATCTTATAATAATATGTCTCCCGATTATTGTCATTTAAAAGCAAATTATTATTATGTCTTCTCATAATTGATGAATAATTCTAATCAACATTGCACCGTAATCAATATCAAACATAAAATCAAAACGCTTGGAGGATAAAGATTATTACAATTTTCAAATTAAAATTTTGCAACAGGGTGCAATTTGAATCTTTGGTTTTGAATGTTATGACAGCCAGTAATAGTAATTAAAAATTTTTTTTACCTATGCCCAAAATCAATGAGGAATATGGTCCGGTGCAAAAAGATTTACACCTCAAAAAAATGCTAATAAAAAAGTTTTTGCTTATTATGCAGTCTTCTTTTTTTATTTAAATTGTATCAATAGATATTCGGAAATATAAAAATACTAATTTCTGATAAGATCTATACATAATTATCAGAATTGTCATAGTCATCGAATTCTTCGTCAATTAACTGTATATCTTCCTCCGACTCAAATATTCCTTGGCATTTTTAAGCGCCTTTCTCTAAAACCCAACTATGACTTTTGTATTAATTTTAGTTTTAAACGCATCTAGAAGAGTATTTCGAACAGATAAAAGGTTGGCATGTGGACTTGATCGCGCGACTTTACCCTTTACAACTGCCCAAATACCCTCAATGGGCTAAAGTTCACAGTGATATGGAGGGGTAAAAAAAACCTGATAATTGTATTGTTTCGCTATTTCAACACAAGAAAATGGTACTTTTTTCTTGTTCATTTGAATTAACTTTGAAAGTTCTGGTCGTCGTAATTCACTAGAAGAAAGCAATATTGTGAGTGGTTAGCCAATCGATGATTTCAACATTTTTCGTCAGATAGAAATTTAGGTCGTCCAAGAACTTTTTGTGGTATAAATGTACCATTCTTACGCTTGTTCCAGTCTTATACCACGCTCGCGACTGTTCTCTCTGCAACACCCAATACTTCAGCAACTTGCTTGCGTAATGTGAGCGTTTGATGGCTTTCCCCTACAGAATTAGCCCCAGACAAGTAAATAATCATTGACTTTTCATTGTCTGTTAGTGGTGCACCGTTTCATTTTAAGGGAGAAGAAAACATGTTAAGGTAGAGAAATTTGAGCCATAGATACGTTTGGTCATGTTATTTTAGACATGTGGATTTTAGTCTGCCATGCCTAGTAACACAACATTCTTTCCTTGGTTTAAATCACGCTTGTTCTAGGTGAGGTGCAAATCTTTTTGCACCGGACCATAATCATAATGAAATTGGATGTCAATGGTAACGAGTGCAGTGATAATTGATACTAATACTGTATACATTTTTACCCACCAATACATTACTGTATTTCCTATTGTTTCTAACACCAAATAAAGTTAAATCCAACTTTTATCGTATTACAAACCATTGTATTACATTATTTCCTTCAGCGGAAAAACTCAAATGTCTGTTTGCTGCGACTTTAACTGCGCGCGCGCCAGTATTTCTACATTAATATAAAGAGGCAGTGCTTTACGGAAGTGAAAAGCAACATTTTCTATTCAAACCGAAAATTTTTCATACGATTAAGTGGTATGCTATGGATTGGCCTATCTCATTCCGACTTAAACACGCCAAAACTCGTTCCTTTGAAGCGTTGAAGCAAATGGTAATTACAAAAGAGTAAAAGGCGTAAAAGATTTGTTCTCATTTTGTCTTTTTCGACGTAGCTAACATTGATTGATTCTGTAGTCGCTGACATGATTGCTGAAGGTAAAGTCTACGTGGTATATTATCAATTTCAAAGTATACTTAATCATTTTCCTTGGATTGAATACCGTCACACAAACTTACAAGAATGTGACAATTGAAGCAATCTACAAATTCCCAATTCATGAAGCTGAAGCTGAAATCGATGGTAATTGAACAGTAAAGGGTTTGTCAAAGAGGCCCAACAGGCTGCTAAAGAGTACGATGAAGCCGTTCAGGTCTGCATTGCTGACAATACCAGGTCTTTACGGGCGTTAATTAGCTTCGCTTACTGAGGCCACTTATTTCACCTTCTTTATAAAAGAGCGGCCTTGGCGCGTACCTTCTTGAAGAACTTCCAATGCTCAATTGGCAATGTTACGCAAAATCAGACTGTCAAAATTCGCATAACTTAGGTGACAGAGCTTAAGCAGAATTCTGATTCCGACCAAGTTCGTTTCGTCATTCCCACCGCTGTGGCGCCTCGCTATGTTGATCCGCGGAACAACTTGTCTCAAATGGGGACGAAAGTGATTAAGGACAATCCGACGTATTCGAGCGAAACGCAATATACATTGGAAGTGAATGTTACATATCGTATGACAGCCAGTTTGTTGAGTATCGAGTCACTCGCACACAAGATTAAAACTGAGATTAATTTGAATGGAGATCCAAAGACTTGTAGGGTTGGACTGGCAGAAGATAAAACTCGCTTGGAAAGGGATTTTGTGCTAGTTGTTAAAAGGATTTGGACAAATCTAGGTATGGATCAGGTATGCGGAACTAGTCATAAGAATTGAGTGACGGTTTATAATAGTGACTAATATTTGCTAAATCGGTGTTTGTGTATTTTCTCTGTATAGAGCGTTCACGTTCACAGAATACAATCCAAAGACCAATGCCAACTGCACCATGTTGACTCTTGTTCCTGCGTTTTGAACTTAAGCCAGTACAGGCGGAAATGATTTTCGTTGTTGACAGGTAATTCGTTTAGATGCTCTATTTTCAAGTTTATTTGCAAATGTTGACATTTATTTATTTCAGATCCGGTTCAATGCAAGGCGCGCCAATGATTAAAGCTCGACAAACACTCGAATTAATAGTTCGCTCTTTGTGGTCTCATTTGGCTCGTCTCACTCCGCCTTGTCTGAAAAGTCTGTTCCTTACTCAGAATCCTCCTACGGCGCGGCCATTCAACAATGGAGGCCAACTTCGGTGGTACTGAACTCTTGCCGATTCTAAGATGGGTTCCAGAAATAAGAACAAAGAACTGCCGACTGCCGTGTTTTTATTGACCGACGGTGAGGTCTAGAACGTGGATGAGATTATTCAACTGATCGAAAGTAAAGTGAAGGAAGCCAAAGACGATTTGAGATTGTTTTCGTTGGGTATTGGAAGTTCAGTCAGTCATTTAGTGGAATCAGTCGCGAAGGCCGGAAAGGGATATGCCCAGTTCGTCAGCGGTGAAAAGAGGATGGACAAAAAAGGTTGCTGGGATGGTCAAGAACGCTATTCGGTCGCCATTGACTGATTACAAAATCTCCTGGGTTGACATCGATAATGGTAATGAGGGTACTGTCCGGCACCGTATATAATTTCATCATTATATCAAGGTGTTCGCTGTGTCGTCTACGCGCTCTTTGCACCGGACGTTGAACCTGCACGGAATATCACGATGACAATACGATCTCGCAGTGGGCCCGTAGAGGTCACTGTGCCAATTGATCCAGTTATTCTCAATGGAATACTCTCGTTGCCAAGAAGTTAATACAGGTTCTTGAGGATAAGAAGAGTTACCTAAATAACGATCCGAAAAACGAGGGAAAAGAAATATCAGCTGAAGATGCAAAGAATGCAATCATTCAGCTTGCGATCTATGCTAATTTAGCCTCAAGATATACAAGGTAAAGATTGCCGGATGGTAAACAAGAATGTTGTTAAGTGATTAACTCTATTCTAATCATCTTCAATTATCTATTAAAGTTTTCTGGCAATCGATGAAAGAGACCAAGTCGTATCGACAGCCGAAATTCAAAAGCGTATTGTCCCTGTGCAGACAAGCGCAGACAGGCGTTAGAGTCAAGTGCACGGTTTGTTAACTTAAATTTTGAAAGAAAGAGGGAACTTGTTTTGGATAAACATGAAGGCATCTATTAACACACAATCTTCGCAGGCTCGCTTTTCTATGGAGGTTGCATGCCCTACGGTGGTTGATACTAAATCAGTTGATTTTGATCCGAAATTGGCCGAAATTGAAGTTCTTTACGAGTTTACTAGTTTTCAATCTTTTGACGGATTTTTCAAACCAACTGCAGAGTTGTCGAAATTTTTGTCAAAGGGAAAAGACAAGAATTTATTCCGAAACAAAGATCAAGATTCTGTCTGGTCTACTTGCATTGCTTTGACTTATCTTGAGATTGTAATGAAGGATTTCAAAGTAGAGTGGGAATTGGGTTATGAAAAAGCGCAAACTGCATTAAGCGAGTCGAGCGGGTATGATTCTAGTGTTATTGGGAAAAATGCTAGAAATTAGGTTACCGAATGGTTTACCAATCAATAATATCTACTATGAAAGTTTGTTCAGAATCTGATAGTTTACACCGTTTTATAGTTTCACTCAAATATCGTGAATTGTGGTAGGTTTAATCAATATAATACAAATGATATTTGAGCTTTACATTTTTGACATCAACTGAGATTTGTAAAACTCAACTTTTTATGCGATTAAATACAATCGAACCTCCATGATGCAATCGTCGTGGCGGGTTCCGTGTAACGATAATATTACATATCTCTAAAGGAATAAGGTCAAAAAATGAGGTTTTTGCGCAACATCGTATTGTTTATGCTTTACTCCTTCTGTTCTTTTAATGAATTGTGCGGAGATCAACGAATGTTGAACTTTATTGTCAATATACTTGTGATATACAATTTGTATCCGTTTAAATTCTTGTATTTTATTATAAATTAAATTGACGTTTAGCTTTGGCTTAATTTAATGCAAGATTTACCCGTGCGAGGAAAATTATATGGTTTTTTGGAGGAATCGGAGATGGGCTTTTGCATTCACGTGACTGCAATTATACCCACATCATTGCTACACAACAAGCGCTAGATTTAATGGTTCGATTACATCATACTCGATACTATTAAACATGTAATTCGTACACGATGGAAATACACGGTTGTTTTACTTTGTTATTCGATAACCGCGAGTCACGCATATCAAAAAGAAACATTCATTTCTTGTCCCAACAATACTATATTATTTATTTTATGACAAAAAAGCGCGTTTAATGAATAGTCACTATTACATTCTAGTCTATAGCTTCAATTTAATCCATCACACCGGAATTTATTTGAGGACAATTAGCTAGCTAGTATTGGTTTTGATAGACCGACATTAGGTCTTGAGTAGAAAAATTGGTAAAGTCGCTATTAAACGATTACAACTAAAAGGAGAATGTGACATCACAGCTCCGTCCGAATTTCTGAAATATAACATGACTTCCGCAGTAAAGGGATTATATAGCCATTGTTTACATACCCCGTAGTAGACTTCTCTTTTACTGTTACGTCCGTCAAATCTGTCGTCCAAAGGACTATGTTGGCCTTTTTACACATATTCTGCCACTTCCGACTTTGCACTAAAACGTCCAAATGTGGAGCGAATGAGATCTGTTTTCTATCTGGTAAGATTGACGAAACTTTCTGCTTAGACAAATTTCAATGACAGCCTCACAGTATCATTAACATATGATGTGGTGTTAATGGTCATATGTGGATCTCTTTGCAATATTTCGATGACAATAACATACGTCTATGCTGTATATATACACAAGTGTATAAATTTTTACCGAGTCAACATAGTCTTATACAAACCTAACGTGTTAGTGTAGACGTTATAAAACCAAATTTATTTATTTTTTATGCAACAAATGTATTATTAAAATCGAGCGCACTTAGCTCAAAACCAATAAAAAGAACTTATTTTTAAAATTTATCTCATGAATATAGCAGTTGTTAGTTTTAATTGTGTAATTTATTTAATGCAACGACAGCGGCGCAGATTAAATTGCTGCACATAGATGGAAAGCACTTTTTGACAAAAAATTTTATCGATTAAATTGCAAAAAAAAAAACAAAAAAACACATGATATGCGAATATTATCGGGCTATGCAGTTAAAATTTTTGGATAAGTTAAAACTGTCTTATTATATCTTTACTAAACTTTCTTACATATTACATACACATATTCAAAAGATAACGGAATTCCATCTTACTATGTTGCGAACGAGATGAATATCGTTTCTGAAGAGATAATAAAAGTCGGGCCAAAAACACCCACATTACGACTACACTTTCGTTTCCAGATTTTAAAAAACTTGAAGCGTACAGTGTGTTACAAAAAAAATTGTTCGCAAATTACTCAACAACTGACACGTTAATTTTTATTTAGTAAAATTTATTAAAACTAAAAAACTCTATTTTTATTTACATGAAGTTTAATTATTTTTAATTGTAAGTGAAATCTGTTTTTATTGAATTGACAAGATTAATTAGAAGATTATTTGGAACTGCATTCCACTTCTCTATCATAAACTGTTGTAATTCAGTGGCATTTTTAATTCTGCGTTTCTTTGACAATAGCCCACAAATTTTCTATGGATTTAAATCGGGGGCTGTTGGAAAAACTTTCCTTAAGAAATTCTTTGTCACGGAAGCTTGTATTCTTGGGGTCGTTGTCTTGCTTGCCGAACCTCCAAGCATACTAGTAATTTCTTGGAGATATTTTGACATAGAATTTTACGCCATTACCTGCGTAAAGCAGAATAAACTCGTTTTCCCGCTAACGGAAAATCTACCCCCAAGCAAAATTTTGTTTAGTTGGATGCTGACCCTTATATCAATGTTTAATTGTATTCCAAAATAATTGACACGCAGTTTCGTCACTGAATAAAGTTTTTTCCCCAGGATCATTAATATGTGTTTCTAACGTCGTCGTTTTGCCTTGTGAGCTTCCATTAACATAGGCGTACCGATGGGCAACTGGTTTTTATAACCCAGTTTATTCTTATTGTAATATACCTTATATTTACGTCGTATTTAGAAAATTTACAGCCAAATTTCTCAATAATTGAATAGGATTTCTTCGATAAAATTGTTTCTTGTAGTTGTTGGTGTAACCTTATTTTTCCTCTCGTTTTCTTTCCTATTGAGCTAAAGTTCTCGTTTCTTTCAACTTTTTAATATTATATTTAATGGAATGCTAGTTAATTTATGAATTTATTGTGCCTTACACACCCTTATTAAGAAAGTGTAATATTGTTTGACGATGCGTTTCTAGACGTGATGATGTCATGTTTAAAGTTTTAATATATGCAAAGATGGATGCTAGCAGCAAAAAATTGTTCTGAATAAAAGAGAGAAGGCGCCATTTTTATTATTCAAGTATCATACGTATTGTTTACATACATAAAAGTTATCGCGCGGTTTAATCGCGTCTACATTTGTATTTGGCCAATTTTTTGTAACCCACTGCAAATCGAAAAAAAAACTCAGTAAAAAAAATAATACTATAGGACAGTTAGCAAATACATTGGGATAATTGGAAGAACGAAGAGAAAAAACAAGAAAATCTTAGTGATGACAACGGAAGACCACTTTGCCATTGGCCAACGAATCTCACATCTCTCTGGATTTGGTTGTTAGCGTAAAGATCAAATGTCTACTTATCGTCTCATCAACTCAGGCCTATTGATATTACGCTTCCACTCCATCCTAATCTCTGCACCTGACGTTCTCTACTTTGATGTAAGTCTGCACAACTTGAATCGTTGCCGACGAAAAACCCCCTGCGCATGGGTCAGGACGTACGCTAAACGAAAGTCACACGGCTCCAAACAAATGTAATAAAAAGTTGTAAGCAACTTTGTGATTTGACGTTATGTAGTAAATCTATTAAAGAAAAAAGAGAATGTGGCGAAGTTAAGAGAAAAAAATTATTGAAGGCAGTCCCAATCACTAAAATAGCTTCTTACAGGAACCAACCAACCAACTAATTTATTCATAAATGACATGGCTGCGTAAAACGTAGTCTCTTTTGGTGGAATATAAAGACGCCCAAGACGTTATATATTCCTTTGACGTGGTCCGACATAATGGATTGGTGTACCTATGAACAATTTCATAATTAGATACAAGAAACATGGATCATACAGTACGCGTAGTGATGTTATGCTTACCAATGCTTACAGACGATGGCGAACCATTTTATTACTATGTCCTGACATACCAAGATCTAAACGTGGAGTGACTGATGTATCGACAATGCGTGCGTCTGCAGCAAATTTCATTTTTAAATTCCTCCGAGAATCCATGAAATTGGTTGTATTTGTTCCTAATCGGTTGTATTCTATGTTAAACCATTATTAGATTTCTTTTCGCAGCATAGCTCGTCCGAAATAATTAGTGTGCTTTCCCCATAACTATAAATAAGCCGAAATCATGTCACGAGCATCTAGTTCCATAGATGAGATTAACGTCAATTAGTTGAACCGTTAGATCACTGGTATTGAATAGAATTCTGACAGAGTGGAATTAACATACTGTACATAGGTGGAGTTTTCAAGTAAACATAACACTAATACAGCTAATTTGAACCAGCAGTTCACGGTTAAATAATGCCGACCAGTAAACTTACTTGCATGAGCCGTAAAAAGTGAATACGACTGCGTTTTCTGTTGCGTTTTTCGTAAAATCCAGAATAAACGAGTTAACGGTGAAAAGCCAGGCCGGAAGTGTGAGTGACGGTAGACAAATCGTACGGAACCTCTTCGACAACTATTCACCCTCATCAATGCTCTTAGACTTAAACTTGCTTTTGGGCGCAAATTCCGAGATTGGAGTTAATTCTAATTGGTACACAAAATCACGTGGACAACGGCTAATACTATATTCAGTATAATAATAACGGTGGACTAACTACGGAGAAACTAGGACAAACATGGCTTCAATTGTCTCAGATAAGGAATGGTTAAAGAAAAGTATTGAAGATGGGAGCACCCGGTTTTACCCTTTCGATGACTTTATTGACTCCGTGAACATTGGCGCTGGAGGATATGGTGCAGTTTTCAGGGCGAAAGCGAATACACTTGGTAGAACGATCGCATACAAGCTTCTTCATTCACAAGATGACAATGAGATGTTTGAAAACTTTATGAATGAGGTAGGTAATTATAAGGACAATGTTTATGTGTGGTTATTATCATTTTGCTTAAAGCGTACATTTATACTCTAGCTGAAAATTCATCGCAAGGTTGATGACCACCTCAATATCATTCGATTCCTCGGAGTGAGCGAGGGTAGGTATCAAGTTGCTTAGGTTACGGCATGTATTATGAATGTGAGACTAACAAAGTTTGAACCAAAAGATTCGCTAAAAAGATATGCTATGGTCTTTGAATATGCCGACGGCGGATCATTACGGAGTTACCTATCAGAAAAATCTGGTGAATTGGACTGGCTTGTGA